TTGTCATGCATCCCCTGTGTCCAAGATGTCTTTCTTGGAACCACCTGATAAAAATCCCGTTCATTCATAATTGCCGCCCTCCCACGATTCTTTTTCCCAGGACTTCATGCTTCCCACCTTTGTGTGAACAACTCTGTGTGAGTAAATTCTGGTTGAGATTTACCTTGATACAGAGACAACCTATGACAGTAAACACTTGTCAATTGAAAGCAAAGATAGATGTCTCGTTAAAGTTTCTATTTTCATTAGGGAAAATGTCTCCCTTATTTGATTTTACCACTTGCAGTTAACTAAGGTAATGTGCTATGAAATAATTAACACGTGCAACAGGTGAAAAGAAGCTTCAATTAACTCCCTATAAACAAATTTAGTAGGTGGGCACTTGTCTAACTTCCTGACTTTCAGAGGATATGGTTGATAAGCAGCTTGTCTCAATGGTGTACTTGGTCATCAGTATGCAGTCATTATCTAAATTAGAAAATTTTCTCAAGTAGCATGAAGAGGAGAGACTCTTGATGTTTGAACTTAACAAGTTACTCATTATGTCTTCAGTTCTCACCTCACATTCCTTTGGTTGCTTAACTTTCAGGGCCATTCCCAGATAATTCTTAACTTTTCTAGCATGTTCTATATATCCGTTTCTTAAGCACGTGAAACGTTTAAACGCGCAAGCGTTGTGTGACGTCACTGGCTCTAATTGCAGTAGGAGTTGAGAGGAGAGTGGGTTTGTGAGGCCTGAAAGGCGTCATGAAGGAGCTGGAACTACAAGTGCTCCTTAAAAGATGGATTTGAATTAACCAGGCGCGCAAATGCAGCTGGACATCGATCTGCTGGAGCAAAGCCTGGGGTGTGTGCAGAGAGCCTGTGAGCCTGGCCTTGACCATAGGAAGCTGGGTTAGATAGATGGAGTGGCTCAACCATAGGCAGTCCTGAGAGGCAGGCAGAACGCTGGCCCAGCAGTGTGAAATGTGATGGAAGAAACCGTTGAGAAAGATCTCCCAGGCTGAGCCAGTTAATATTTCAACCATGTGCCAAAGTTTGCAAAAAAAAAAAAAAAAAAACTTCAAGTCACCCATACCTTCTGAAGCTCATCTCAGGGCCTGCAAAGAGAGCCCGTCAGCCAGCGCCCAGGGACCAGGTAGGGGGTAATTGAAACACTTAGCGAAGTGGTGATAAAAGCCTAACCCGGGTGCTGACAGTGCGGGAGAGACAGGCATTTCTGAAGAAATCTAAGCATGACCAGGTATCTTTTTGGATACGGAGATGGCAGAAGACAAGGGCATGGTCAGAGGTGTCAACATGGGAGATTCTAAAAAGAGTGTGTCGATGATAGAATTAGCCCTGGTTTCTTGGCCTCCTGTTGGTTTTGTACTTGTTAGTTTTATATGCTCATATTGATCATTGAACGTCTTGGGAAAGAAAAAAAAAAAAAGCAAGTGAAAAGATTCATAATGCCTAAAGTCCAAATAAAAGAAAGGGTCGGGACTTCAGGCTCAAAGAGAGCCGCCTGCTCAGCTGGGCTCTCTTAGACAAGGCAAAATGCCTTCCTCGTAATATCTGAAGCCAGGAATATGTTCGCTGAATTTACAGCTTCTTAAAATAGGAGTCAATAAAAAAGAAACATTAAAAAGCAACAAGTGTCTGCAAGTTAGCAGGGGAGAAAGCCCTTCTTATCCTCCTACCACCGCATTTCAAGTTGTGTATATTTACTCTGATTTTAATATGAGTGTTTACAAACTTGTAACCCGTAGGGGGAAGAGTCTGCTATCCTTTATGTGAATTGGCTCATGAATGTCCGAACTGTTTTACGTGCAGTCATATTTTTAATCAGATGCAACACGAAAATTTCGTTAGACTCGGCAACAGTCCGGGCTTCACTTTCTCATAATCTCTAATCAGGAGAGCCACTCACTCACCCGCGCTTTGTAATTCTGGAGCTTTGAAGTGGTCAGGCCAAGGTGACATCTGCATTTGGTCACGTCTAAAGTGATCAGCGTCCGGGCCGAGGATAATTTTAAAACGTGGCGTGAAGAAAGGTACAGTCTGGGTATTGGAGGCTTGTGGGGTGGGGTGTTTCCCGCCTCCCCGGCCCCCGAGGTTAAATGAGACCGTTCTCTTTGGTGAATTTATCTTAAGGTGGGACAGCAGCCTGGGCCCAGGCCGCAGCGCTCAGAGTGAGGGTGCGGCTGTGGGGACCCAGCCCGTCTAACTGCAGGCTCTCCTTAGCAGTCAACCACACGCCTGTATTCATCAGTGATTTTCAAATGATAGGGTTCTCTATCGCTGGTTTAGGATCCACAGACTTGCATTCCTGAATCCGCACTACGCCAAAGGAATAACAATTTGGTGGCTGGAAGCAAAAATGGTTATTATACGGCTCCAAAATGCTAACTGGCACAATATGCTAAAAACAGCAGAAATTCGCCCATAGGACACAGAATTTGTTTGTTCTTAAAAATAACTTTACTCTCTAAAAATATGAATTAAGGAGTCTCATCGTGGTTCAAAATATTTTACGTCAAATATGTGAGCACCTTAAAGGACACGACTGATTTTCTAAAGTGGCATCATCTTGAAATAACAGGAAATATTCCAAGAGAAACATAGAATGCTTTTGAAATCATTATCTTGAGTTTGAGGTGCTTACTGCATGAAAAACTGTTAGTTATATTTACTTTTATGTTTCTCCTGCCACCCCAAATCATTGTTTGAAATATGGACAAAAAGACAGAGGCTGGGCTGGAATTTCGGAGCTCCCGGTAGGATTAGCAAACAAGCAAAGAAAACTTTCTGCAGGATGTCTGTGAAGCGTTTCCATTTGCTTACACTGGCTCAGTGCTCGGCACATCACAGGGCGACACCTTTTCACGAGGCGGTTTTACTTCCTTGTAGCAAAATAGCTCCTCCATGCAAACCAGTATCGGCAGCTACCACGCCGGGGTTTTAGTTTCTTCTCATCTGTTCAAGCTTCGTTGCACTGCTTAACTGACTATTTTTTCCCCTTGTTTTGAAATTACCCAGCTAATTTTCCATTTGATTGTTTATTTAAGCCAGATCTCACGGAGGCTTCATACAGAAGTGACACGTGGACTTGGTGTGTCCGCCTGAACTTGAGCTGACAGACAGAACAGTGCCGATTTTGTCTTGGTTTTCCCATTTCCCTTATATCTAGAGGGATCTGTCAATTCAAACAAAGGTTCTAACATACACAGCAATGATTCAGTAAGACGTGTTCAGTATCTCTTAGCATTCTATGTTATCAAGCATTTTTCTAAGTGAACATATTCTTTGTAGTTCTGGTGAGAAAAGATAAATCTATTTTTTTTGTATGTGATCACTTTTGCCACCAACACCATCCAAATAAACTGTAACAGAAAATCTTGGCTCGTGACACATATATCCAGCTTTGGAGGGTTTAGCTGATTTTCTTGAAGTTTGACAATAGAAGAATGGTTTCCATTCAGAGTGAACCAACATGTGTGAAACCACTGCTGTGTACTGGGCACATGTTTTAGGAGTCTTCCATTTGTTTTATTTTTGGGTTTTGTTTCCCAGCAACTTCAAAAACTTTATACATAATCTGATTGACAGATTTAGTCTTGCAGTTATGTCCTATAGATTCAGCCTTTTCACTCATGCCTGAAATGAGGCAGGCAAAGCTGTGGAGACAAAGAACAAGTGTGTGTTGCGCAGTGTGCCTTAAATATGTTTTAATTTCAGAGATATTCCCATAAATGTTTGCTGAAATGCATGAGTGCCTTGTGATCCCCTCTGCCTCTCTCTCTCTCTCTCTCTCTGGCCACTAGAGTGTCTCCAGTTGGGTCCACACTACAGGCCTCCTTATTCTTGAGTACCCCAATGTCAGTAGATCTGTGACCATTCTGAAACCTGGGCCTGCATGTCCACTGTGTAAGCCCAGGACCCTCTAGCCTGGAATTCAAGGTCTCCAGAGCCCAACCTGTGGGTCCCCAGGGAGTGGGGGGTGGTGTGGGCGCGTCTCCAGCACCCCTCTCTTTCCATAGGTTCCCTTCTGTACAGGTTCCTCACAGTGTCCCCGACTGTTCTGTCTCTGGCCCTTTCTTGGTCCTTGCCCAGCACCCAGACGAAAGCCTGGCAGATCTTCTGTCCTCTCCGTCACTGCCATGAAACTTTATTGGGTAATTTCTTCCCTCCCCAGAGCTGAGTGGCCCCTAATGTGCCACTCTGTAGTGCCCCAACCTGGGCAGTCTCAATCACTCTGTGTTTTCCCCTCAGTCTGTACTGGATTATCATGGAGGCACGTCAGCCCCTTATGTAGCCAAGCCCCTGTCTTGCATCCTCTGGCATTGTCCGTTCAAGCGGCTCTGGGAAGGAGACTCAGTTTGGGAAGTTCTGGGCAAGCTGGAGAACCAGGCTACAGGATTGCACATAGCCATTGGAGTGCGTAAGTGGAAGATACACTATAGGGAGAAGTCACTTAGAGAAAAGGAGAACTGGATGTGTAACAGCTTCCTCTCCTCCTGCAGGTCCTAGAAATTACAGTCTTGCTGCTACACCCTTTCTTTGTTTAAGGACACACAGACACACAAAAGAAAACCCAAACCCTTGAACTGAATGAGTCACTCCAGCCAGGCCTCTGCCAAGCTAGTCCGTTAAAGTGCAAAACCAATTCTGTGCTTTCCTTAGGCCCTACATGACTGTCTGACTTTCTTCCTGAAGTTCTTTAATAGGACAAAAAATATGTATATATGTATGCTGATTTCTCAGCAGGTTGATGTAGCTTAGCTCTCTTGTGGTCCAAAGATTTTACTCTTCCCTTGGAAGAATATTGAAGGATTGGCTGCCTGGACGACGCTGAGCGTGGAGGTCACAGCCGTCATCCTGCGGCGTTTCGGCGTGTGTGTGGATTCTGTATCTCCTCGTGAAGCTTTGCTGGTTATACTCCTGTGTGGTGTGCATTCTCTGGAAACACCGTTGAGTGTTGATCTCTCCCTGAACGAATCGTTGCTTTGTGTTCACAGGGAACGGATATGGCAACCCCCGAAACTCACCAGGTCTGCTGGTCTCACCTGGAAACTTGAACAAGAATATGCAAGCGAAATCTCCTCCCCCCATGAATCTAGGAATGAATAATCGTAAACCAGATCTCCGAGTGCTTATCCCTCCAGGCAGCAAGAGCGCGATGCCGTCAGTGGTAAATGCCAACCTACGTTTTCCAATAAACCTTGAGAATGTTGTGTCTATGTTTTGCTGTTTTTGTATTTGTCTAACTGTATGAATGACTTACGTTCTCCACCCTCCTCTGCCCCCAGAATTAATACATCAGTGCTATTGATGGAGCCCTGTTTGGATGTAGCTATTATTTCTGGTAACTGCTTTGCATTTCCCTTTTCCAAGTAAAATAGACCCAGCATCCAGTCAACTCCTCCGTAGCACTGGGGTTCTGGAACTAAGGGACAGGTTTCCTTTTAAGGCTTCCAGTTCACAGTTAGAACAAAGTCGAACTCTGCCATTGGTCAAGCCACGTGTTCCAGAGCTTACGGAGTAATGAGGAATGAAGTGTTTCATAACATAGTATTTTTACAGTGTTGAGCTGTTTGTGTCCTCAAGGTACTAACATTGCTTTCCATGATTTCTAAATGAATCTTCTCCTATTGATTGGCAATTGCTGTCTTCGATGCATTTGCAGTGATATCTAATACATCATATGATTGTGTATGGCCACAATTCCTCTTTCCATATATGTCCTCTGTGACAGTAGCTCTCTCTCTCAAAAGCAAATGGTGCCAAAAATCCCAGGTATTTCAAGAACAAAGATTTTTTATTTTAGATCAAAGAGGCATCGTAGCACTTTGAAGAAAAAGTAAATGGATCAGAATATAAATTTAAATACCTATAATGTCCTCAGCCTCTATCATTTTTCTTTCTCCTGTGTCTGCAACTCTAAGATGAAGATAATACCGCACTCAGCAACAAGGAGACTCACTTCCGTGTTCTCCAAATTAGCTTTGCTTAAGAGGGAGAATGTTTAAAACCAAGATTCAGTAGACAAATTTAGATCATTCTGCACACACATTTTTTTTCTTCTTCTTCTTTCCTCTCTGCTCTGTGGCGAGCTTCAGGGTAAAGCGGTCCTATGAGCTGCTTGGTTTATTGTGGCATGGTACAGATGAAGTTCGAACAGCAACCCCCCAGATTTTGTGTACTGTGCAACGTTCCCTTTGGAAAAGGCTGGGTCCAATAAATTCAACCTCCCACGGGGCTACAGCAAAGCAGTGTGGGCCATGCATGCCCGCTGTCTCCATCCGCCAACTGATGCTTTCCCAGGGATCCTGGGAGGGGTGGGTGAGGGCTCCCTCTCGCAGCCAGGTGGGCCCTTCCTCCAGCAACTGGAATTCCTATGTGCAGTGGTGGTTTTTTGGTTTTTTGTTTCCTTTTTTTTTTTTTTTTTTCAAAAACATGGTGGTAAAATAATGCACACTGAGACACTGACCTGTGCTGAAAACTGGATAGATTGTCTTCACATTTGAGACAAACACCTCATTAGGGGAAACAAAGAATGCCTTTGTAGGGAGTGATCTGTAGAGTCTGGGTTGTAAAACTGTTTAAACTGTTGTGTCTATCAGAAGCTGCTTTTCCCTTTGTTGGAAAAATTTTGCCCAATTATAAATATTTACCGACACTAATCATTCAAACTCCTTCCCCATGCTCTCAGTCTGAGGATGTGGACCTGCTCTTGGTGAGTGGTGAGAGGGCTCCCTGGGAGGGTCTGTGCAGAGCAAACCCCAGAGCTGCCTTTTGGGGAGGTGGTAGCTCCGATAAAATGGAAAGACTCTGCAAGTGACCATAGCCTGTCTCTGCTGCCGATACTTAAATGCCATTAATTTCCAGTCGCACTCACAGGTGAACAGAGTGCCCAGTTGTTTATTGTTTCTGCCCCAACCTCTGTAACTGAAGGCTGGCTTTTCAGTGTTTGCAGATTTAATTTATAGTTAAAATTCAGATGCGTGCACACAGACACACACACTCACACAATGTCTTTGGTTACTCAAAACTACAGTATTTCTTTTTCTAAGAATTAGAGTGTCATGACTTTAAGTTTGTGTGTATCTTGAATTTCTTTCTGCAAAGAGTTAAACGCACGTTAGCTGCCATGCCAGAGTTTGAGGGAAGTTTCCAGGAGCCTGAAGAAGTGGTCAGAGCACCACCTGCTGGGCACATTGTGCATGAGCCTGACCCAGCGACTCCTGGCTGTACACAGAACTGAATGTGAAAACCACCGTGGTGGATTTTAATTTTTTTTTAATTTACATTTGAATAAAAACTGAAACAATGGAAGTACAGTATACATATTTCATCAGTTTTCCACATAGTCTGTTTTTACCCATAATAAAGCGATGGTACTTGTAACTAGTTCAGTTGCCTAGGAGATACTGATGTAATGGGTTACTATGGCAACAACTGGTCTCTTGAAGGATTGTAAATGATAGGGTTGGCAGAGTTCATAGAGACACATGTTAAATGATTAATTTCATGAGCTTTATACCAAGTTATCTCTAGGTACAAAATTCATTGAAATCTAAGATTTTTAACTTTTTTAAAAAATTCCATCAATAATGTCTTTTTATTTACTTTAAAAGAATCAAAGGATAAATAACTCCCAGTCTGCTCAGTCATTGGCTACCCCGGTGGTTTCCGTGGCAACCCCTACTTTACCAGGACAAGGAATGGGAGGATATCCATCAGCCATTTCCACAACATATGGTACCGGTGAGTGGCTTGGCCGTGTGCAAATAGTGCATGACATACTTTTTATTAAAAAGCAAGATGCAAAAGTTATTATCTGTTGCTTCGTGAGAAAGCTGAATTTAATGGCTGTGGGGCCCAGAGCACTGTACATTTCCTATTCCTTACTAAGACCAAGTGAAAACCCACATTTTTCTTTCTTAAGTGATGGAACGCTTTATTTAGCCAACCTGAGTTCAGAACAGAAGAATGGTGGCAAGGCAATTGAGCTGTTATTTCTTGGATATACAAGAAAGCTCGTTCAGAATTATAAAGCACTTCTAGATCATCAAATACATATGTCTCATTACCTCTAGGTGTGGTTTTTGTAATAATCTAGAATTGCAGGCTCTACCCCTGGAAACTGTCATGAAGACTCGCTCTGGTGTACTGTATATTCCTGATGTTTTATCCCCAGCCTCTTCCCGGGATTAAAAAAAAAAAATGCTGCCAACCATAAGTAATATTAGCTGAGTACTTTAGACATTGAAGCAGGTATGTTGTTTACAGTGTGATGTTCCCTGGCTCAGAGTCTTGCTTCCTGTTCCCTTGTTTCTTCTAGAGTATTCTCTGAGCAGCGCAGACCTGTCATCTCTGTCTGGGTTTAACGCCGCCAGCGCTCTTCACCTAGGCTCAGTAACTGGCTGGCAACAGCAGCACCTACATAACATGCCACCGTCCGCCCTCAGTCAGTTGGGGTAAGCAACATTGTCTCCTCTGTGATGTCACTTTGGAATGCATTTTTAAATGACAATGACAATGACAATGGAGATCTCTGAGTGCATCACTAGTGTCCTACCCGTCCCAAGATTCAATTTTATCAAAACTGGAAAATGCCAGCTCAATACCTTTTAAGTTACTACGTTCCTTATTATTTGAGAGGACGGGGGCTCTGTGATAATGAGGTGAATTCTTACTGTTTGAGGCTACATTTGTTTCCACTTTTGTCAAAGAATTTTCATCTCAGTTTTCACCCAGTTCATGTGGGATGTGGGCGTTTATAGTTATTAAGTTGTTTTAAGTCTTTGAGATACTTGAGAATCTTTCTCACTTGCATAAACTACAAAGTTTGTCAGTGTTAACCTAATACTCAAAGGAACAGCATAAATTGATAGGCTTCCTATACTGTCCTCATACAATAGTTGTACATCTATAGAGAGTATATAAAATATATATGAATACACTGCTAATTAGTACATGCAACACTAACTCTTAAATTTGGTTATAAAAATAATTTATATTTTCTGAAGACAGAGAGTATGTCTTTCTGCCCCCTTGTGGCAGTTTTGAAATACATCTTTCATGGAAATGACTCATGTCAATGAAACATTCAAGCCCCTAAAAACCCTGAATTCACAATACTTCTTATAAAACATGCTTTATTTCCTTTAAATAAAAAAAGCTTAAAACATGAACTGAGGACCTGACTTTAACTTTTTCCTAAACTGCAATTAATCTTCAAAAGGAAATATTAAGAGGTCATAAAATATTTAATTAACAAGTTCTTATACTTTAGAAACATTCTATACACCTAACTCTGACTTTTCTGCTGAGCCGTTTGGTTATAATTAAGTAGTTCATTTTATTGGTTAACTAGTTCTGGATCCATATTTCTAAGCAGATGAGGATAAAACATGAATTAGAATGAGTCACTGATATCACATTTCTCTTGCCCCTCCTCTGCTGCTCCCCAGCTTCAAGGTGGTATTGATTTTATGTAGATTAGTGAGCCTGTGAGATCTTCACCAATTGATTGTTTGGTTATATGCGTCCTACTCACTAATCACAATCATTGAAGGTCTAACCTTTCATGCAAATAGTAAAATAAATTCACAAGATGCTGGTGCCCTGATTTCTTGAAAGATCATTAACTTTGAGAACATGTTAAGTATTTATCAGCCTCGGAGTTTCTCATTTTCAGACATTGAAGTTTTCTCTGGAATGTTAGCTATCCAAGTAGAATTAGAATACAATACCATTCAGGCAGTTTTAAAATATGTGTATGTGGCATCGTAGTGCTGTGTTCAGCAGTGAATCACTTTTCATACTTCTTATCAGAAATAAAAGTAACTCTTTCATTCTCATTTTGCACAAAATTCATCTCTTGTAGGATTAGGTTGCCCTAGAAATGATCAGTGTCAAAATCATATTTCCTCTGACTGTAGCTTGCTTTTTTTTTTTTTGCTAACACCTAATAACTTACTTTTTCACATATAAACATGTTTATTTACATACTTTTTGCAAGATTTTCTTCAATTTATTTGAAAGTCAGAGTTACAGAGAGACAGAGATCTTCGATCTGCTGGTACACTCCGCAGATGGCTGCAACCTGCAGGGGTGGGTCAGACCAAAATCGGAAGCCAGGAACTTCCTCTGGGTCTCCCACATGGGTGGTAGACGCCCAGGCACTTGGGCCACCTTCTGCTGCTTTCCCAGGCCATAGCAGAGAGCTGAATTGGAAGTGGAACAGCCAGGACTTGCACTGGCTCACATATGGGATGCCGGCATCACAGGTGGCAGCTTTACCCGCTACGCCGCAGGGCCAGCCCCTACTTACACAACTTTAACAGTGGCACAATTTTAAACTCTCTATTGTGATATAGGGAGATTTTAATTTTCTGCTGCCCCTAACAGAGACTTCCATAGATGAGGAAGGAGGGACAGCCCTAGACCAGAGAGGAAGCTAAGTTATGACAGCCACGGTGGGAGCATTTGGCTCAGGCCCTGGGGTCTCTCAGAGCTCCATCTCCGTGTGCATAGCCTGACTCTGGATGTCATCTCTGAGTTTTCATTACACTTGAGATCACTCCCCATTTCCTTCAGATCCATGGGATGACCTTTCCAGTCTTCCCAGTGTTGGTTTGCTCGCTCGCTCACTCTTTCTCTCTCTCTCTCTCTCTCTCTCTCACACACACACACACACACACACACAGGCACACAGTAGCTTTCTGAAAGAATGGTCTTCCAAATGGATACCCTGTGCTTATACCATGACATGTTACATTCTTCTTTCAAAACTGCCGCCTGGTAATATTTATGTAAAAGAAATGCCTGAGCTACTTCAGTCCCTTGCAGTGTACACGGAGGCAGAGAATCCATAGGTTTTCCACGCCAGAGTAGTCTGAGACGTGTGTTACGGGCCCATCTGTTTGGATGGACACTCTGCCACCTGCAGCATGGAGCCTGGCGTCACCCTGTAGTAGATTCACCAGAGTTCCCAGGTGGAGCCCACAGTTCTCAGAATCGCAAGCTGCAGTAGAATTCTTCCTGTGCTGCCCCTGGATAAGGGCCCCTTTTGTCCTTTGAAACTTGAAATGCTCAAGGCTGTGCTTTCTTTACATTATTTACTTTTTGGGACAGCGTTTTTTTAATTTACAATATAGTCAAAGGCTTCATGGCTCTACTAAAAGAGTTCAACAAACAAAAAAAGTGAAAAGACAGGCAAGGGCTGTAGACAATAATCAGATGAAAAAATGTTCAACTTCACTCACGTAAACTAAATTGTAAAATAGTCACAAAATCATCATACTAGAGTAGTATATAATCCCTGCCCATTTGTTTGTCAAATATTTGAAACAGGGTTTGACCAAAAAAAAAAAACAACTGTATTTTCAGCAAAGCTGCCAAATACGGACATTTATCGTTTTTGGAGTTTTTTTGTTTTGTTTTTGCTCCCACATAGAAGGGAGAACATGCGGTATTTGTCTTTCTGTGTCTGGCTTATTTCACTCAACATGTTCTCCAGTTCCAACCATTTTTTTTAAACTATGTGGTATCTGACTTTATCTGACTAAGTCAGATAAGCAGGGAGAGGCATGCCTGGCAGAGGAACTGGCAGAGGAACACGGAGATTTGAGGGGCTCATTGGAGTATTAACATTGGAGAACGTAACCTCAAGCTTCAGACATTTTTCTCGACTGTGACCCTAAAACGGGGGCTTTTGACAGCATCTCCATGCATCGCCCATGTAGATGAGGTGTCCAGTGCACACGAGAGAGGCCACTTAGAAAAGAATTTTGAAGCTTGAGGTTAAATATAGTTTGATGGTCTTCATTTCCAGATGGTAGCAGTAAGAAATTTAAATAAAACTCTAGTCATTTTTTTATTTCTGAACAGTTATGGGAAAGCATAGATGTTTGCCCAATTCAAAGGCATGTGTAGTAGGTGAAGGCTTACAGACAGGACTTCATCTAGGCTGTCCACTCATCTTGCTTCTCTTTCTCCATCCACCTCCTCATCACTGACCCACACAAAGGAGCTATTTCACAATTATCCACTTCCACAGTTATCTGTGTCTATACTTGGTTCTCAAGAGCAAATAGACCAACATGCTTATCTCTGAATCAAGCATATAGACAGCTGATGGTTTTAATGCTGTTTTTCCTTTTCAAGAAAATGTTTGTTTGATAAGAGACTAGCCATCCCACTTTCTGTCCCACATCATAGCATAATGAAACTAAGCCCAAGGCATCCCTTAGATTTTGTTACTTTGGATTTATTCCCCAGATTTACTCATAAGATTTCCTGTTTGCTTTCAGTATCAAATGAAATACCAGCAAAAGACAAACCAGGCTAGTCTCTGTAGAGAAAAGGTTGGCCAGTCAGAGTTACATCTTTTATGGAGAAGAGATGCAGAAAAATGCATCCAAGGCAGTTGACGTAGAAAGACAAAGAAAATAAGTGGATGATGCAGCTTCCAAAAACTGGGTTCTAAAAACAGCCTTTTAATATTAATTTCTGATGAATTTATTCAGTTGCCTATATTAGCCCAACTTACCAATTTTTTTTCTAATTTTTCCATGCCATCCTGCCTGGGAAGACATGATCTAAATGTCAAAGGGTTGACAACAGCATTTATTGATATGCCACTTTATTTTCAAGCTCCTAATTGACATTTATTATTAAACAGTTGTGTGATTCATAGTCAAAGAATTTAATTAAATTTTAGTGAAATAATCTTTCTTACCCAGAGCCAGGAAAATGATTTCTTTCAGAAATCAAAAGATGATTTCCTCTAACATCAAAATGAATCATTAAGTAACTTTGAACCAAGATAAAATAGTCCACCACTCTGGGTCCTTTTGAAATACAGGTGTTCCTCCCCCTACTCCTTATTTTAGTATCTTCTTGATTTAAAAATTATTTAATTAAAACTCTTAGCAAATTAGTAGACTAATACAGACTGTAAAATAATAAGCTACAAATAAATAGCTCCAAGCGTAAATAGGTGATTGAAAATGATATACACTCACCACAGGATCTTGATACAAATAATAAGGCCTCTTTGAAGGTATAAGATCATAAAAGCCAGAGAAAAGCTTATTAGAGAAAGAAATAATTCTCCTTTATATTATTCTCTACATTAGCTCATGTGTTAATAAGAGAAGGAAAGTGAGTCTTTGCCAGTAGGTGGTGCTTTTGTATAAAACATCACTCAAAGATAAACTCGGTTCTGACTCATTTTATAGCCAGTACATCTTCAGCCTGTATCGCATCCCCCAAAAGGCCAGCCCACGTCACCCCACTTTTTCCTCTGAAGCAAACACCCTTTCTCTCACTGTTCATGATGTGTTGCCGCCCCCGAGGTGTCTCCTGTGGGGAGCAGCATAATTGCACACATCTGTAGACAGGCTCGCTCGCTCTCCTTTGTCTGAGATGGGTGTGTCTGCAGGGATAATTCCTTTCCGTGCCTCTTCCGAACCAGAGAGAGGCCGCACCCTCCCGACAGTGCTAGTGGAGGAATGCTGGCTGTGGCCGTGGGTGTCAGTGCAGACTGAGCATTCTAGAAGAGCAGAAGGAGGCCATGTTCTCTGGCCTGTCCTGGTCACAGTCTTTGTGAATGTTGATCTACACCTAGGGGCTTCCTGCTGTTCTCAGCAGGATTTCAAGGAGCCACATTCTTCCCCGTGTTAGAATAACGATGTTCACGGGGTGTGGGTGAGCACTGGGGGTGATAAACACGGTGAAGGCTACTGCTCCCTTTATAGCACCTTCACCTTAGGCAAGACTAATGCATCACCATGGCCAGGATAAGCCAGGGGAGCGAGGTCCACGGACCCCACCAGAGCGGGACTCATCCCCCCAGCTGTACAAGCATGAAGAAAGTCAAATGGTTTTAGCAGCGTTAGCAGAGAGTGGACAAAGTCTAAATGGTTTCAAACCAAGATGTAAAATGTCCCCCTGAGTTTGAGCCTCCTTCCTCTTCCCTTTCTTCCCCCTCTCCCAAACTTTCTTCCGGCTGTGGGTATTGAGTGGCACTTGGTGGGTTCTGTGCACTTGAGACTTGAACTCTCTTTACTGTCCCAAAAGACTGTGTGACTCCACTTACTCATTGGTAGGAAGCATTTTTCTCAATAGTAAGCTCTGCAAAATATGTTCAAACAGGCATTAGTCAAAGTCCAGTTCGAAGGCTGGACAGTGTGTCTGACAGCTCAACTTGTCGAGGGAGAAATGCCAGGGACACATCATGTCAGCAACCACTCTGCACCTGTGCATTGAGGGAGCCTGTTAGAGACCAGGGAAGCCCTTCCCTGAGGCCTGGCCCCCACCAGCACTGCAGGCGATTCACTGCCCCAGCTGCCCTAAGAAAGCAGTGCCCCTAAGCACTCCTGAGCCCACTGTCCACACGCTGGGCATGCTCTGGTGTCTACGCGAGTCTTGAAGCTGATGTTTGATGTAATTGTGAGTTCCTGGGGCCTCCAGGCCTCCTCCATCTGTAACTGGGTTTCCTTTCCTCCTACAGAGCTTGCACTAGCACTCATTTATCTCAGAGTTCAAATCTCTCCCTGCCTTCTACTCAAAGCCTCAACATCAAGTCAGAACCTGTTTCTCCTCCTAGAGACCGTACCACCACCCCTTCGAGATACCCACCACACACGCGCCACGAGGCGGGGAGGTCTCCTGTTGACAGCTTGAGCAGCTGCAGCAGCTCGTACGACGGCAGCGACCGAGAGGATCATCGCAACGAATTCCACTCCCCCATTGGACTCACCAGACCTTCGCCGGACGAAAGAGAAAGCCCTTCGGTCAAACGCATGCGACTCTCTGAAGGCTGGGCGACATGATCACATATTACTTACTAGTTTTTTTTTTTTTTCTTGCAGTGTGTGTGTGTGCTATACCTTAATGGGGAGGGGGGTCGATATGCATTATATGTGCCGTGTGTGGAAAAAAAAAAAAAGTCAGGTACTCTGTTTTGTAAAAGTACTTTTAAATTGCCTCAGTGATACAGTATAAAGATAAACAGAAATGCTGAGATAAGCTTAGCACTTGAGTTGTACAACAAAACACTTGTACAAAATAGATTTTAAGGCTAACTTCTTTTCACTGTTGTGCTCCTTTGCAAAATGTATGTTACAATAGATAGTGTCATGTTGCAGGTTCAACGTTATTTACATGTAAATAGACAAAAGGAAACATTTGCCAAAAGCGGCAGATCTTTACTGAAAGAGAGAGCAGCTGTTATGCAACATATAGAAAAAAAAAATGTATAGATGTTTGGACAGACCCGGCAGTGGGTGGCCATTCGAAAAAGTTAGGAAGACGCCCCGTCACCTGACATCTGAGCACACTCACAAACCTGCAGGCATGTCATTGGCGTATGGCACTCATTGAAAAGGATCAGAGACCATTAAAAGAGGACCATACCTATTATAAAAAAAAAAGCAAACAAAATATGTGGAGTTTGAGGGCTAACGTATTTAATTAAATAAATAAATAAATCTGGGTCTGCATCTCTTATTAAATAAAAACTATAAAAATATGTACATTACATTTTGCTTATTTTCATATAAAAGGTAAGACAGAGTTTGCAAAGCATTTGTGGCTTTTTGTAGTTTACTTAAGCCAAAATGTGTTTTTTCCCCTCGATAGCTTCGCTCATATTTTAAAAACAGTCCTGAAAAAACCAAAAAGGACTTTTTGTATAGAAAGCACTACCCTAAGCCATGAAGATCTCCATGCTTTGCTAACCAAGATAACTGTTTTCTCTTTGTAGAAGTTTTGTTTTTGAAATGTGTATTTCTAATTATATAAAATATTAAGAATCTTTTAAAAAAATCTGTGAAATTAACATGCTTGTGTATAGCTTTCTAATATATATAATATTATGGTCATAGCAGAAGTTTTGTTACCTTAATAGCGGGAGGGGGGTATATTTGTGCAATTGCACATTTGAGTAACTATTTTCTTTCTGTTTTCTTTTCTCTGCATACATTTTATAAGTTCAAGGTCAGCTGTCAAAAGGATAACCTGTGGGGTTAGAACATATCACATTGCAACACCCTAAATTGTTTTTAATACATTAACAATCTACCGGGTCAACTGACATCCACTGTATATACAAATTGGTTTTTTCATGCGATTTTTTTTTGTTTTGTTTTTTGCATTTTTATCAAATGCAGGGCCCCTTTCTGATCTCAACATTTCACCATGCCTCTTGGAATTCAGTAAGTGCACATCCTAACTTGCCCATTTCCCAAATCATGTGGTTGGTTGTTAGCCTAGAATTTGACATGCTTTTTTAGAAATATGCCCAGAATAGAGAAGCCATGTTGGGGTACATGCCCTGCAAATAGGACCCCAGAAACACGCGATACAGAGTTTACTTGGTGAATGAGTCACAAACTCCCACAGAAGACAAATGTAAAAGCCGGGGTGCTGGAAAGAAGGAAGCAGGGAGAGAAAGGGCTAGTTACTTCGTCATCCGGTTTTAGTTATTTTAACTGACCCTTAGCAATCTTGTCAGCAATATAGGACTGTTTTTGAACAATGCCAGTGTGTCAGACCCCCAAATGTCACTTCTGCATAAAGCATGTATGTCATCTATTTTTTTCTTCAATAAAGAGATTTAATAGCCATTTCAAGAAATCCCATTAAAGAACCTCTCTATGTCCCTTTTTTTAAAAAAAAATTTCCAAGAAAATATAACTCTTGTCTAATACTCGTCTATAAGGGAATAATCTTCAGACCCTTTAAAAAGTGAGTGCCATAAAAAAATAAGTCATTATATTGTATAAAAGATATTTTAGTCCAGGAATGATTTTTCTTCTCTTGGAATGTGAAGATCTGTCGATTCATCTCCAATCACATGCATTGACATACACAGTGAAGAAGAGACACTTGCTCTGTCATGTGCAGGACATTTCTTATCCACTTCTGTTTTCTTTCACCTGCATAGCTGCTATGCACGTCTCATTGTGAAAGGCTGCCGCTGGGTGGCAGAAGCCAGGAGACCTTATTAACTAGGCTATATTTTTCTTAACTTGATCTGAAATCCACAATTAGACCACAGTGCACCTTTGGTTGCATCCATATAGGATGCTATCCTGCCTTGTACTAACTAATGTTTTATATGCTAAAAACAAACAAAAAAAGAATCTATCAACCATTTCATATATATCCCACTACTCAAGGTGTCCGTGGAACATGAAACAACATTTATGCAGAGGAAAAACAGAAAACCATCCGTGAAAATACACTCACACACACACACACAGGGAAAAAAAGAAGTCATTTTCCTCATCATAAACTTGATGCCATCCTTCAACCCATCCTTATAACTTGATGTGTATGAAATATGCAAACATGTCACAAATGTTCTTTGTCACTTGAAAACACTTTTGTTCATTGATATCAGTAGAATCATATCAGTGGGTGGGAAAGGGTCATTCTACGAAAATATGAAGAAATAGCCATATTAATTTTTTTTACCTGCAATTTGCCTCAGCAACAAAGAAAAAGTGAATTTCTGATGCTGAAGATAAAGCGAGCGAAAGTACCAGCAGAAGCCTTGGCTATTTATAGCAGTTCTGACAATAGTTTTATAAGAGCATGAAAAGAACAGAATCACTTAAAAATGGATACCAGTCATCTCTTGTTCCCACTGCCGAAGTCATACATAGTGGTGGCAAGATAGCAGAGTGATAATGGGAGCATTTTTTAAAGATGATTTAATGAGAAGAAGCACAATTTTGATTGTGAAGAGTCACTTTCTGTAAACAATTGCTGTCTTTCTTTACCCTTATACCTTATCTGCAACTTATCACTAATTGTATTTGGAAAGCTAACATGGTTTTTATCACAACAGATCCTTTGTATTCAGCCGTTTAGGGCAGAGCCCTGTGGGAGTGCTATTTTGCATAACCCAAGTCCTAGAGTAATGTTTTAGGCATAGGCAACATTCTTCATTGCAAGTGAGAGAACCCGAAGTGGCACTTTACACAGCTACAAGCGTTGTTACATCTAATCCTATTGCAAAAGATTTTGGGGAGACATGAAGCTTCAATACCACTCACAGTGATGCAGCTAGCTGGCTGCACAGCCTGTATATTGTATGCATTGGTGCATGGACGCTGTTGATTTCAACCTTTTTAAAAATTGTGTTTTTTAGTAAAATGACTTATTTTTTCCCAAAGATGGAATTTAGCATTTTGTAATGATGAATATGAAAATACCTGTCATCCTCACATCACTGAAAGGTTAACTAAAGTGAAAATTCAACAACAACAATAACAAAAATCCAACACACTTTTTAAAAGAATGTTTGCCCTCTCACACTTCTACGGATTTGTTTCTCTTGCACACCCATTTTAAACTTAGAGATAGATTTTTTTTTTTTTTTGCCCCCTTGATGCTTGTGTTTGCTTTTCCAGACAGTAAATGCTTTGTATTTCCTTGTTTTTAAAAAAAAATCTTTTTTTTTTAGAAGCAGCAGCAGTCACTGGGACCCTCAGTAGAGGCTGTTGCCTAAGCAGGGCGCATCTCAGCCGCCCCCGCCCGTGCCATCTGCTGTGCTGTTGTCACTTGTGTGGCACTAATTTCCTGCCACTACAGGTCTTTTCAAGATTGCTGGAATACTGGTGTCTGTTAGAATGCTTCAGACTATAGATGTAATTAAGGCTTTTCTTCATATGTTTTAACCAAAGATGTGCAGCAATCCAAGCCACATATCTTCTGCATCCAATTTGTCCATTTCGGTGATTCGCATAATCGGGTATTGCATTTTTGCCTTCCCTGTTCATACCTCAGATTGAGTCATACCTCAGTGTCATTCCGAGCGGTCAGCTGAGTGGCGGGTTCAGTTGGGGCTGAATGCAGTGCCAGGGGAATCTTGGAGCCAAGTGGAGGTGGGTCACTGTAGGCAGAGGCCTTGGATTGCTTCGATCGTTTGCTGTATCATTTTTCTTCTTTTTCTTTTCCTGGGGACTTGTTTCCATTCAATGACAGTAATTAAAATAGCTTGTAAATGAGGGCATACAAGCATTTGCAACAAATATTCGAATAAAGGCTCACAGCGGCATAAGCTGGACTTTGTCGCCACTGGAGGACAAGATGTTATAACTAAGTTAAACCACATCTGTATATCTCAAGGGACTTCATTCAGCTGTCTGTAGTGAATAAAAGTGGGAAATTTTCAAAAGTTTCTCCTGCTGGAAATAAGGTATAATTTGTATTTTGCAGACGATTCAGTAAAGTTACTGGCTTTCTTAGTGATGCAGTGTCCGTGGTGCGTTTTTTTAACCCGTGTTTGCTCTTTACATTTGTCCCATTTTCTGTGTTTCTTAAAAGCAGCTTATCTCATAAGCCAAAGGAGCTTTCTCAGTTTTCAACTCAAAATGTGCAGAACGATGGACGTGTGCATCTGCGTGGGAAGTGTGGGAATGGTGAACTGTTCCTGGGGTGATAGATTCAGCCACAGTGGAAAGTTTAAGGGTTTTATCAACAGATTCATCTTTACTTTTATTTTTTTCATATTTACTGATTTTCTTTTTTTTTACTTTCAATTATCTTTATATACAGAAGATCGATTTAGTATACATATTTACTGATTTTCATCTACTTGCAAGGCAAAGCAATAGAGAGCGATCATCCATCCACTGATTCACTCCCCCAGTGCCCACAGCAGCCAGCACTGAGCCAGAGACTAGAACTCTATCAGGGTCTCTCGCTCGGGTGAGTGGGAGGGGCCAAGTACTTGAGCCATCATTTGTTGCCTCCCAGGATGCACCTTTACCAGGAAGCCAGAGGGAAAGCAAAACAGCTGAGACTCAAGCCAGGCACTATGATATGCCACGTGGGCATTCCACGCAACAGCCTAATTTGCTGTACCCTGAGGTTCAAATTTTGTATCAAAGAAGTTCCAAGAAGATCTTTGATCACCTACGTAAATGTACAGAATTTTCCCAGAGTCACTGTATGACAGGCACTACTATGAAATCAGGTTTTTAAAGTAAAACATTAAAAAGTGTCTCCGGAAGCACTTCTTTTTCTTCATCAAAAGAGTTTTTTAACCAAAAAAGATTATGATCCGAATACTGTAATAGATTAGTGAATTCATATATTTTTTAAATCTATATAACATTCATCCATTGCCAGAATTCAATGATAATCTCTTAAGGGAACGTCCTTTAAAAGGTCAATATAAAGATTAATTTGGAAGAGGAAGGCAATGGGGCACCTGCCACCCAACTGGTAAACATGAGCTTTTGAATTAGCAGTGCGCCCTGCTCTGAAAAAAGAATGAAGGTCAGGGAAATGTGCAAATAGCTTCAACAACAGCAGTGCTTTTTGTCTGTTCTCTGTTCGTTCTCAGCAATCAGTTACTAAGCAATTATTCTGTGTAGCTCCTGGTGGATTCCAGGATGAACAGAAATGTGGCCCTAGCTGACGGGAATGGAACAAGCAGGTTCTTAGGGAATCCACCAAATGCTCTCAGGCAACCCCTGTGGCCATCTTGGAGGAAGCAGAAGGGAAGCTCAGAGTGTGGACAGTACGTCAACGACCACGCACAGGCACCCTTTGGCTTGCTTTTGGAGGGTGTACAGGATCGAGAAAGTCGCAGAAGCAGGGAAAGCAAGGCTGACCTGGGGGCTGTGACTCCTGCAGTCACACACACTATCATATCGCAAACACAACCCTACTCAGCAAAATAATGGTAAAGCAGTCACCAAAGTCTTGGGTACTTTTTTTTATCATGACTACAAGGTGTTTTTTACAGACACGGGACATCTCCTGCTTTCCCAAAAGACAACGTGGTATGCCTCTGCTTTCAGATGTTGTGCTTACAAGGCGCTCTGCTGTCACCACCTTGAAATTCTCAGTAATCTCATCTGAGCTGTGTTCTCTGAGATCCAACAGGACAGGCAGTCGTGTGCACAAGCAGAGGGGATGCACGGGGGGAAATGTAAAAAGCTTTATATTTTAGTTTTTTAACAGAAGCTACCTTTCTCCTACTTTTCCAACAAAGACTCCAACATTTTAATTTTGTACTGAGTCCTGCCATTACAGTGCCAGCCTACAAGGAAGAAATAGTTACAGAGGCACAGAGCTGGGAGAACAAGACACAGATTTACAGGAATTGTGACCCATGCTGTTTATAGATAAAGTGTAGCCACATGTCAAGGCACAGCCAGGGACAAGACTGGAAGAGTTTGTTGGGATCCAAGTACATAATTGCAATATAAGAAGTCTGGGGTTTAATCAATTAATTGAAAGATTTAGTAGATAGAACTATCAGAATTCAGCAAACAGGATAATGGAGTGAAGATAGATAAGGATTTGTTGAAGTTTATAATTTTTTTAAAGATTTTATTTATTTATTTGAGAGGTAGAGTTACAGACAGTGAGAGGTAGAGACAGAGAGAAAGGTCTTCCTTCCATTGGTTCACTCCGCAGTGAACCAATCGGCTGGAGCTGCGCCGATCCGAAGCCAGGTGCCTCCTCCTGGTCTCCCATGTGGGTGCAGGGGCCCAAGCACTTGGGCCATCCTCTATTGCTTTCCCAAGCCATAGCAGAGAGCCGGATTGGAAGAGGGGCAACCAGGACTGGAATCGGCGCCCATATGGGATGCCGCACCGCAGGCAGAGGATTAACCTACTGTGCCACGGAGCCGGCCCCAAAATTTATGATTTTTTAAAAACATTTTATCTATTTGAAAGAGAGTAGAAGAGAGAGAGAGAGAGATCAATCTTCCAACTACTTGTTCACTCCCCAAATGGCCACAATGGACAAACCTGGGCCAGGCTGAAGCCAGGAGCCAGAAGCTTCATCTGGGTCTCCCACGTGCGTGCAGGGGCCCAAGGACTTAGGCCATCTTCTGCTGCTTTTGCAGCTGCATTAGCAAGGAGCTAAATCAGAAGTGGAGCAGCCAGGACTCAAACTAGTGCCTAGATGAGGCAGCAGTTCAACCCACTGCACCACAGCACCAAATCTTTAAAATCCTAGTGCTCTCCAACTGGCAAAGGGAGAAGTCACTGCTTTGTGCAGAAGGTAGTGAATTATGCGTTCATCGTGTTGGGTTTGATGTATACCCACAGGAATGTTCTGAATAGATGATTAACCTCATGGTATGCATCAATGCTAAAGGTAGTTTTAGGTGTTACTAATAGGAAAAGTCATGGTAAAAGCTATACTAGTGTGTGAATTTGTCCAGGGGGTGGGGGAAGGGAGAAGGAAGAAGTTAGATGCAGATGAGGGAAGGCTGCCAAGGAGAAGGACCAGTGAAGGAGAAGTCGGACATAAAGGAGAACCGTAAAGTGTGCCATCAAGGCAGGAGGGAGTCTCCAAAGCAAAGCATGGCCGTGCTCAATGCTCTCAAGTGCATTATTGACATCACAAAGGAGGGGCTGCAGAAGGGACTTAGCTTGGACGTGGGTGATCACTAAGCCATTTCAGTGAGATCATGTGGGAGGCAAAAGAGACCACAAGAGGTGGTCTGATCTACAGGTGGTGTGAGGACAGCATGTGTGGACTGTTCTTTCACAAGCTTTGGTGTTTAGAGACTGGCTTGAGAGGCTGGCAAGGTCAAGGATCAAGTGCAGGTTTCTGGAAAGGATGGGTGGTACCTGAGGTTGTTCATAGGCTGGGAAGAGCTAGGAGAGCAGGCAGGGCCCACCCTGGCCCACAGCAGAAGGATGGCACCTGGTGCCCACAAGGCCCCACTGAGACCTGGCCTTTTTTTTTTCAATGATCCTTGGGCATCTCGATTAAACAGATTTATTGAATTTGACAAGGAAAAGCTCTCCAGAACACAGCACATGAATTTTCATTTCTTTGAATTGAGAAAACCTTTTTCCCATCACGTTTGCATATTACTGTGGCATCTTTCATACCTGTCACCCTCACAGATTGACTTCTAAGCAAAATCCAGTGATGAAAGAGGAAAGCCAAGTTCATGCCCTGGTTAGGTGTCTCCCTTGAATCTCCTGTGTTTGAATGCAGATGTCTCCATCATCAACAATGAAACTACTCATTTAATCTCCTCTCTCCCAGGCAGGGCCTCTGTCCCAGGAGACTGTAGCCTATGCCTTAGAGTCAGGAAGACGTGGAAAATGTTCACAGTTCCTGAGCCCTAAAGTAGTTCCTGGTTTTGGAGGCAGCAGGGTTGCCAGTCTTGACTGCCTGAGACTTGATGAAGAACTTGCAACATTGATGTGTGTGCATCGCTAGCAGCCAACCTTTGCTGTTATTCGTGGGCACTGAATAAGAACTAGAGGACCTCATCACTTTCCATGACCTGTGCTGCCCCCGACAGAAAGAGAACCAGTGCAGGGAGGTTGCAGTGGAAGGGGGCCACCTGAGACAGCAGCAGCCGAGGCTGCTAGGTGAGTGAGTGCCAGGCACTACCAACCAAGTCCCTTGTGTGCAACGGATCTGACCTACGTGAGCAGACTGGAAACGCAGGAAGAAGTGTGAAATGCTTTGTATTTTAGTATTTTTAACAGAAGGCACCTTTTCCCTACTTAGACTCCAACACTGGAGTCTAATCTGCTCAAGAGCTCTGTGACAGGAGCGCAGTTTTTCCAGATTCCCTGGAACAACTTTACCCCTCACAAGCCCAGTAACATTTGTCCAAGCATCAGCTGTCTCCAACACACAGGGTTTACCACTAAGTCACAAGGTTGCTCTGGGGCTCAGTTAAGGTCCCAAAGGTGGGGCCAGTATTGCGGTGTGGCGGGTTAAGCTGCTGCCTGTGCTGCTGGTATCCCATGTGGGCACCGGTTTGTGTCCTGGCTGTTCCACTTCCATTCCAGCTCTCTGTTAATGTACCTGAGAAGGCAGCAGAAGATGACCCAAGTACGTGGGCCCTGCCACCTATGTGGGAGACCTGGAAGAAGCTTCTGGCACCTGCTTTCAGCCTGGCCCAGTCCCGGCCACTGTGGTCATTTGGGGAATGAATCAGCCTATGGAAAATCTCTCTATCTGTGGTTTTTTTCCTGTCTGTAATGCTGCCTTTCAATTAGATGAGTAAATAAACCTTAAAAAAAGAGAGAGAGACTATACAGGTGTTTTTACCACAGGGAATATCAGTACAAATACCACCCTACTCTGAAATAGTAAAAGGAGTCAACAAAATCCTGGGAATATTTTCTTAATACAATGTGCTTTTTTTTTTTTACAAATGTCTTTAGGAACGTATCATCATTTCCCAAAAGCCTACTTGAAATGCCTCTGCTTGGTTGATGCTCTGCTTATGGAGAAGCCACAGTGTGCAG